CATCCGACATGATTTGTTATATACTACTCCCTCCGTCCCATTAGAAGGTTCCCACTTTCCCTTTTTGGACGTCCCATTAGAAGGTTCTCATTTCCATTTTAGGAAACAATTAACAATCTTAAGTGATAAATTAGTCATTAAATATTAAAAAGAATACATTTATAAGATCACAGTTAATCAGTTATCAATACTAACACATTATAATATATACCTATTAAAATTATTTCTCAAAATATACCCGAAGTACTTTATTTAATTATCACCTAAATAACCGTGCCGTTTTGCTATGGGAACCTTCCAACGAGAAGGAGGTAGTAATACAAACTCCGTATTAATTTATTAAGACAAAACCGACATTAGCAAAAGTAGCAATCCCTATTTTTATGCGTTTTACAAATTTCAAAATAGCAAGGAGCAAAATGCCTGGACTGTTCCATGATCCTAGATGATACAAGTAACAAATAAAGACCGAAAAGAAAAGTTTTACTAGGAACAAAGTGTGTGGTGCCGTTCAGCCGTTCACCGAAGCACTGCTATGTCAACCAACCGTTTTTTTGGCTTTTGGAGCCCAAAAGCCATTTACTAAAAACACTCATTTTAGCTGGTCAACCAGTCAAACCGGGTAAAAAATGGCTGATTACCCATTTACTGTCATAGTGTGAACCTGTTATTGCAGAGAAATACAACAGGCTCTTGTGGAGATTGGAGATAAGGATCCTTCGTTCATAGGGTCACGTGATTGGATTGGAGCCATCGAGCTTAGCTACGTTTTGGACAAACTGCTTGGAGTAAGTAGGCATTGTGTTGGTAAAACGATCTTAATATTGCAAGTATGTATAGCAATAAAGTTTATAATTTAAATTGCAGTTTGATCTTTGATTTGCCGTGTTAAACAGGTTGAGTGTAAAGTCATAAATGTGAGATCCGGAGCAGAGCTTCCAGAAAAATGCCGAGAGTTGGCACTGCACTTTAAAAATCAAGGGACGCCTATCATGATAGGTTAGTAGGACCCCCCCCCCCCCCACACACACACACACATACTGACATACAGACCTTCAAAAAAAATAGTTGTTGAGGTTTTGTTATTAACCTATGTAATATAAATATACCCCCGGTTATCTGTTGTAGGTGGTGGTGTTCTTGCATATACGCTGTTGGGTGTGAATTACAATGATGCTACTGGGGATTGTGCATTTCTGATACTGGATCCTCACTACACTGGCAGTGATGACCACAGGAAAATTCTCAATGGCGGATGGTGTGGGTGGAAGAAAGCAGTTGATGGCATGGGAAAGCATTTCTTCTTGCACGATAAGTTTTATAATCTCTTGCTTCCTCAAAGGCCCAACATGGTATAGTTTGTGTTGCTGATGGATCATTATCACATAGCAGGTTCTATACTTCTATAGGAGCTAGATATATGTAAGGTACCTTTCAATAGCTAAGAACAATGAGTAGTAATCTTACATGCTGGTTTGGGAGTGGCACAATAAACCGACACCGAAAAACCATTCTGAAATCCCAAACTAGTATTTTTTTTGTTTACCGTACCCATATTATTAAAATATTTGGTCTGGTTAACTGGCTGAAATAATGAAAAATCTGTGGGTGGTATGGTAACAACAAAAAATCTATGCATGTTTAGATTTCAAGCTTCGCGCTTTAGCACTAGTGTTATTGTGCCCCAAATTGTCTATTTAATAAATATACACTGTTTTTTCTCTCTTGTATTTCAATTCGATTAACGGGTTAATTATACCAAAATTGTGATGAACTGACATTCAGTTAATTGAATTAGTAGTACACATGAATAGTAGATTCATGGCCGGTTCCCAGACTGACCGGCCCACCGTACAGGGCAGGGGGTACCGTGACAGCAAATGGAGTTTGCATCTACAAGGCATTGGTTATCAGCCTGATCCCAGGCTATTTTTTCACTTTTTGTTGTGTTTTACCATACTATTACATTAGGTTTCAAGCCCGTGCGATGCACGGGTAGTACATAATTTAGCTTATTTTAAATTTGATATTTTTGAAATCATATTTAATGTGATGCAAACGAAAAATAAACTCAATCTAAATATAGAGCTCGTTTGATAATAGTAAAATTAGCGAAATTAGCTTATTTTACTGAAATTGATTGAATTCGGGTTAAATCACTTGAATGTGCTAAATACACAGAATCTCTCGAATGATGAAAAAAATTAAAAAATATTTCACTTGTAAAATAAAGAGACAATTATATGAAAAATATTCAAAATGTTCTTTTAATCTCATGTCTTCTAAATTATTATATTATGCACCTCAATTTTTTTTCATATTCCTCATTGAACTTGGTATGAACTATGGAGTTTTTTTTTTTACATTTTACTCACTATTTCCTCACATTGAAAATGATTTTTAATTGTTATGAATGTCTAGATTACTTTATTGAGCATTTCAAAATAATATTGTTCTAATATTTCTCATTCAACTTGGTATGAAATACGTATTTTTAAATTGTAATAGTGAGTTAGGTTCTTACATTTTACTCAACTTGGTACTCCGTAGTAAAATAAAGAAATGAAACAATCCGACATATTTACTTTTGGCTAGACTAAACGTATTAACTTGAACACACATATGCATATATGATATCAACTTTCATCCTTGTTAAATAATAAAGATAAGCTACTTGATTAGAAGTATTCTCTTTATATGATTCTATATATGAATGTCTAATAGTACTAATTTCGCTTTTAATTTCAAAATTTTGGTTGTTATAATTTTCATCATTTTGTGTTAATAATTAAGAAAGAATTATATGAAGATGTAGAAAAATACGAAGTATTAACACAGTTTCAAATTTGTAGCTTAAAATTTTAATCATGATCTCAACATTGAGTTTAAGGGAATAAAATATAACATTTTAGGAAATAGGACACTATTAATACTTTTTTTATATATAAATAATTTTGAAGACAATAAATATCATTTTGGCTGATTTATCTATTTCTTTTAGGAATTGGTTTGTCTGTTAAATGGGCAAAACAAAGATACTTTATTTCTTCAATAAAATGTAATAAAAAATAAGAAATATAACAATAATAATAAAAAGTATACATGCATATAAAAGTACTATATACAAAGTACTTCGTATGGTTGGTTATTAATTATTGTGATTCCAATTAATGAATTTCACAATTATTAAATACGTAATATGTTTTGAAAAAGTTTCCAAATAAGGTGGATTTTTATCATAAAAACTTTTGTTTTCATATCAATATGCAATCAAAAATAGAATCTAATAAAATAAATAAAAGATACGGAATATTAAAAAATTAAATGATGGATGACATGACATGATTATGTGGCGCTTTATATATATATATATATATATATATATATATATATATATATATATATATATATATATATATATATATATATATATATATATATATTGATTTGCATTCATCATAGTCATCAAGTTGTATATGTAACTATGTAAGCACCTCAAAGAAGGCAACTCTTTTTCTTACAGGTGTAGGAAGAGATCAAAGAACATACTCCGTAGTAAAATACAATTAAAAGCTTTATCTTTGCAGAGTAAGGATGTTTTTAATTGAGTTGAAATCTACTTGTCTGGTCTGGCCTGTTTAAGTCTAATTTGGTCAGTCTAATTTGGTCTGGCCTGATTAAGTCTGTGATTGAAACCAGCCCATTAAAAACATCCTAAAAGACAATTAAAGAACAAAGTATAATTTATATACTTCTACACCAAATTTTGTTAATTGTAATTGATTAATAAATAATACTATCAAACGTTCGAGATTCATTCGCCTTTATTATCACCTAAAAGCTGCGTCTTATTGGAACCGCATCCATATAGAATATAATATTATTAATAAATACAGGAGCCAGAACCATTTCTAGTGCCGTCTTTCAAAAACCAATACCAGTTTATTATTTGACTGGTTCAATTCTCAGCCCCCCCATCCCTCAAGCCCAGTGCCGATTTCGCATAAAACCGACAAGTTCTTGTTTGTTTCGGAACAAGAAGTTTAAAACCCTATCCACCCTGAAATTCTTGGTATAAAAATCGAAAAAAATCGATTTTTGGTATAAAAAATCGAGAAACCGAATTCTTGACTGATTGAATGACATTCAGCCTACATTGTTCTCCCCATGTGTTGGATCGCATTGGTATAGAACACCGTTATCCAAGGTGTTGCACTGCTAAGTGCCTAAGGTGCATGATAGGTGTAAAAAATGCATTGAACACAACCTCAGAAGCTTAAAACTATTGAGCTTTTTATACTCTATCTTATAATTTTATATTTATTTTTTTCAATTTATTGTATATTTATCCAAATGTTGAACCTTTTTTAAAGTTGAGAGGGTTAATTCGAACATGTTCAGGGGACTTATTTGAGCTTTTAGTTTCGAAGTTAGATACACAATTGGCAAGTTGAGCGGTGATGTGGCGGGTGATCAGATGGTGACCTGTTAAAACTAAAATTTGAACCATTTTTTCCAAATTAGGGTGCGAATTTGGACATTTTAGTTCAGTGACTAAATTAAGCTTACTCGTCAGGTACAAGAGCTCATTTGACCCTTGCCATTTAACTTGGTCTATTTATTGACCAGTTACGCTTATCATTTTTTTGTGCAAGGTTGTTCAAATTTACCTAGGTTCTCGAATTGAGTGGTCATCTGGTCTTGAGGGGTGGAACAGGTGGAATACATTCACGTAGACGATACATTGTGGCAAATCAATAAAATAGATTTTTAATGAATAAAAAAGAGCCGTTATCGAATTTTTTCGTTGCTGTGGAAACTTGAAAACCACGCTCAAAGATGTTTTTACTTGGACGGTAATCTGTCCCAGACCAGACCAATATAGTTATAAAAATACAAAGAGACCAGACATTACCAAACCAGACCAACAAATTTTACTCCAAGTAAAAACATCATAATGCTTAATACGAACGTTGAATGCACTACAATGAAAAAGTTGTGGCGAAAATTAGATTCCCCCTGAACTCTGATAAGATAATGGAACATGTTACTCTGATAGAAGCTTCTACAGATATATTTATAATAGAGTCAGAAAACAAAGCTACAAAAGGACCCATCGTATCTGAAGACACTCTTGATGACATTGTTTGATAAATTGATAGTACTATAGTAGCATAGTACTCGACCCCAGGCCTCCTCCCCCCAGACCCCCCGGAGTAAAAAAACAGTACTCGACCGATATTCTATAAACAAATAAAAAACACAGCACTCTAGATGTTATCTACAAAGCAAAAGCTCAACTCATTATAAAATTTTCTTCTCAGCTTGACTTCTTGTATCAGATCACGCGCACACACAAACACGTAACAATTCTTTATGCTCTGATTCCCTTGAGATCTTGTTGTGCATTATAGAACTATATAGCAGTACCTGGCTTCACTATGCCATGGAGTTTCCACCCACCAAATCCAGCCAAGGAAAATGCCTGACAATGCAACATAATATATCATATAAAAATCAGCACATTTACTAAACTAATCATCCACACAGCAATGAAACAAATCCCCATGTCATTGAAAGCATGTGTTATATGCTTAATAAATCAGAATGGCACTATACTTTCTATTTTAGATAATGGATGGAAATGAAACAGCAAAAAAGTTAATCCCTCTGCCGCAATGTAAGGTTCTTGATTTGGTTTACAATATACAACAGATGATAAAATTATCTTTGTCCTGATATGAATTTAAATCGGCATTAGTTATTACTACATGTAATCTATACATTTAGAGACTACTGTAATACGAGATTTTTACACATAAATCAGAGATTAAAATAAATTGAGTTGACTACATAAATAGTGACGGAGAATCTTACGTTGGGATGAAGGGAATATTATTTTAACCTTAAAAAACTTAGCTCCATTTACTGATCTTACCAGTATTGCTCACCATTTGTGTCAAATGAACTTTATTTTTAACTTTATCATCACACAAAATTATTAGTCTGAAGTCTCTATATGGTTGACACTTTTATTTTCTCCTTATAACCTTATTCATAATGTTTTCTATCAGACCCTAACTTATTTAAGCTCTTCATTTGAATCGATTGATATTAAAATAAAATAAAATAAGTGACCTTTTATGATATCCTTGTCTTTAGATTTTATTATTTTAAATATTAACAAAATATACATAATGGATAATATACATTATAAATTATTATTATCAAATCCATTCGACCATTTCAAATGCAATTTGAACAAAACCAACCAATTCAACAACTTTAACTCTTTCAGCCAATTTTACACTTGCCAACTGGAATATAATAAAAATGTTCATGATCTACCTTTGGAAAAGATACTTGCCTTTAATGGCTTAATGCTAAACATACCTCCTTCCATGACTTCCCGGTAGCTTCAAGTAAAGCAGCATTACAAGTCTTCAGCTCTATAAGAGCCCCTGAAAACATGGAAGCAGCCTCCTCCCACCCCTTATTGTGCCCCATACACCTGGACATGCATCTTTGAAATCAACGATCTTAATAAATGCATGTTATTGTAGTTACTGTATTATGGAGTAAGTTTTTGACAACTAAACATTTGCTTAACTGTATTACAAACAGCAAATCAGGATTCATAACAATGATTATTTGACAACAGCACAAGTGCGCTTCTGTAATTGGACAAATAAAAAGGTTCCATTTCAGCTTTCCAGAACCCAAACATTTGATAATTTTGAAATCTAATTGCTCTCAATCCAAACAGACATGTCCTTGCTCAGTAGATTCTAAGTGTTAATTATTTAGGAAGTTGTATGTACAAGGCTATAAGCATCTATCTTGTCAAATTTCAGAGAGCATTGACATGTACATTTGTAGACAGATATATGAATTTAAGAATAAGGTTGGATCTAATTTAACCCTTTAAAGGTGAGGATTGTCCAACATTTACTAATTAGTTCATTCAATTTCATCAGCCGATCTGGGACACTCTCAACATTCCCTCGTGGCAATTTCAAAGGATTATCACCCCCATTTGGCCATGTGGCAATTTCACTATTTTGAGACACACTTCAAGAAATGCACTTCCACTACATAATGAAGAACTTTTGCAGTGGAGGAACTCACATTACTGTAAGTACATTGTCAGCAGAGTATTTACAGATTGCCTGTCGAAGATGTTCACTCGTCTGCCCATCCATGGCTGCAACAAAATAAAAACTTGAAAGGAAATGCACCTCTGCTTCAAGAAATTCCCGCACCTGCTCCTGCATAATTTTCAGAGTTTCTCTAGTTCTAGCTGCATCACTATAGCAATGCATAAAATATTACAAACACCGAAACAAGTATTAGATTGTTATCGATCACCATCATATAGAAAATATACCCAATAATGAGAACTCGGTTATATTCTTTATAAGAGGGCACAAACCTACATAAAATGAGCCCTGGAATCCATCCCAATTTCCTTAGCTCATGAGAAACTTTAGCAGCATCAAGTTTTCCGGATTGGCTCAAAGGCCGATCATAATCTATGAATGGAAATGGCCAACTAAGAGTTGATATATGGTATATATGGATGCACAACGTCCAACATATAAAAACGAATGTCCTTTAGAAGAAAATGATCCAAATGCATAAGAGTATGTTACACATGCAGGCTGCCAAGGAAAATGAACAGCATCGTTTATAGGGATATAAGCAACCCTCAAAAACATTTTGAAATTGCCAAAAGATCTATTTGACACCTGAAATGTCCAAATACTCATTGCGCCAAAGGGTTCTGCACATTGAGCGAGCAGTTAGTTCCGGTCTTTGTTCGCACGGTATAATTTGAGGTCAACTACAAAGCAACGTTGATGCCATACCGTTTTCCTAAATCTCTGAAGTGATAGGTATTTTCAATAAATTAAATTGCTGTGAGAATAGTTCTTAAAAAATAACCCAACAGGAAGTATGGAAATAGTGGTTCCCAATCATGGTGAACCCAAACATACACAAATACACAACTGAGCACTTTCGCAACTGATTTGCACAATTTTTTTACCTTATTTAACGAAATGCTATGGTGTTCAAGACAATGGAAACAATGCAGTACTTCAAACGATGAAGGATTGAAATTTATGACAGAAGGACAAGGCTAAATTACTAATTAGGAACGTACCTTTGAGGGAGCGGTTATCCCATGAACTCTGCGCGTGGCGAAGCAAAATGAGGCGGCGCGGCTCGGAATCCGAATACGGAGCAACCATTTCCGGCGAGCCTGGCTGCACTTGAACGCTGCCGCTCTGAGTCGCCATGGTAGCGGTGGCAGCGATATCCAGAAATTTGTTTCTGCGGCGTCTCTCTCGGCACCTCAGGGTGGGAAAAGAAGTTGCCCGACGGTGACACGAGGTTGCCGCATTCCAGCAAGGGAGGAATTGAAGGGACTGAGCGAGCATTGCTGAATCTCCTCCTTTACTTGCGGAGTTGCGGTGGTGAGTCTTTCTGAAACAACTGTCCTAAACAAGAGCTGCTACTCGCAACTGAACGGAGTCGAAGAAATTTTCCGGGGGGTCAGTCGTGATCTCTTGCCGGATTCTCAGCCCATCACACCCGTCGGTTACCCGGATATAATATGCGACTAGTCTATCACCCGGGGCATGCCCCGGTTGTGTCACTTTGGTGTAAAGTTGCTTTTCAACTCCTTTTTAGTCCATATTATAGCAGCTCGTCCATGTCTAGAATCACATCCATGGAAGGAAGAGTTTTATAGAAATGCTTTCGTAGCTCGCCCATACCTAGAATGTCAGGATAAGGTTGTAAAAGAATCAAATAATTTGTACTCGATTTGTGATTCGAATTCATATAAGATGATTCGAATTCGGAAAATTCAAATACACATAAGAATATTAAATTTGATTCGAGTTGTTATCAAATACAAATTAGAATATCAGTATATTCTATTCGAATATTAATCAAATATATTCGATTAATAATAACTGTAATATTAATATCAATATTAGTAATAATAGTAATAACACTATACTCCCTCCGTCCCTAAATAAACTTTCAACTTTCCTTTTTTGTCCGTCCCAATTAAAACTTCCACTTTCCCTTTTTGGCCAGAATTTGTGGTTCAAAGCAATTCTTACACATTTCTCTCTCCTCTGCACACTCTCCACCGCACAATACCCACTATCTTAATCTGTGTGTCAAACCTATTTGGAAGATAAATTAGGGACGGAGGGAATAATAACTTTTAAAAGATAGAAATATCCTCAAAGTGTAGCCTATATACACACTTTTGCATACAAATTCCAAGCCCATTTGTAATAAACCAGAATATAAATACGAATACAAATCAATTTTTTGGTTCAAATGTCTTTCAAATAAAATATAAATAATTATGTATTCAATTTGAAGAATAAAATTAGAGTTGTTTGACTATGATATATACAATTATCAACCTATTTCACACATTATAAGTATAATTTTTAATATGTGTGTGTTAGTGTTTATTTCAAAAAGTTTGAAATAGATTTATGTTTATAAATCATAAAATTAATTCACTTTAGTATATTAAGCACCATCTAAAAATGCATTGATCCATTACATTTAAATTCTAAAAACACATATTAAGTCATAACATGCATTTAAAACATAAAAAAATATGGAGTATAAGAAAAGTCAGACTTGCATAGTTATAAACTATACAAAGATCAGACATTAAACTGACCAGACCAGTTCACACCAGATCAGACCAAACCAGACCAAAAAAAATTCAATTAGATTAAAAACATCTTTAAAGTGATTTGCGATTTCATTTTACGCAATAGTAAGCTTGATGTTGTTAAATAGTTTGATTTTCTATTGAGATAAAAAACGAAATTAGTAGCAAATTATTCCCAAATAAATTACTAAAAAGAGGTCAATCAAAATTGATAGGATGAAGCTCGTATAAAAAGTAGTGATTATAATATAGTAGAGTCCTATGTTCAATTAAAATATAGTAGAGTCCAATGTTTAATTAAATTCTTTAAAAGTTGTGAGCGGCCTAAGGTCACGTAGGAGTTCCTAGCAGGGAGCTAATTTACGTCATTTAATGAATTAATTAACTGTTTTAGTATAATGATAATACTTATTTGTGTTAACCAATGAGAGAATGACAAATCACTATTTTATAACTCAGTTTTACTATATAAAACAATAGATAGTGGACCCTCTATTCGCGGGCTGGCCTGTTTGGCTCGCACATTCTCGCACATTCTAGTTAAAAATTGAGGAAATTACCCATTAGAGTCAGTTTTACTGTATAGGTTTTAAACTCATATATCTAAATCATTGTCTTTTAGAATATTATTGGTATATTTCATTTATCCAATTATGTTAAAGTTTTTATCTTTGAAAATATATAGACACAAGTACTTAAAAGGTTATGACTTTATGTCATACTCCCTCCGTCCCGTTTAAATCTTTGCACTTTCCTTTTTGGGACTTCCCAATTACTCAATTACGTTTCCTTTTTTGGAAACTCTTTTTACATCAAAATGTCTTAACTACCCTCTATAAAATATCCTATCGGCCCACAATTTATTACCCATCAAAGAAGATTACCCAACATTTAGGGAGTGTGTGATTGTTTCTACTTTTAAAAAACGATTTTTTAAAGTGATTTTGGAGAAAGTATTTAATAGTAAAAGTTGGTAGTGTTTGGTAAAATAAGTGCTAATAGAAAAAGTGAAAAGCTGTTTAAAGCACCCTTCCAGCTGCTTCCATCTTTTAACTTTGGGAAAATTATGATTACCCCCTTCTAGTTTGATCATAATTATTAGTTCAACCTTATATTTTTAAAAGTCAACTATTTACCCCCTCAACTACGATTACTGTTGTAATCCCCCCCTTTTATCAACATTTTAGTCAAATACCTATTTCTTTTACTAAAATACCCTTGTTTAAGATTATTTGAGAAATCCTCTCATCTACGTATTAGGGGTGGGTACGGTCCGGTCCAGTCCAATATTTTGCCGAACTCGTACCCGTATCGTGACTATTGAAACAGTTTGGTTCGATCTTAGACCTAAATCCGTTCGGTACAGTTCTATTTCCAAACGGGACAGTACCATATCATACTAATACAAAAAAAATTCACTTTTTAAGTGTTTAAGTGAAAGTTAAAGTTTAGTCATCCTCCAAAAATCCATATAATTTATCAATTTCATACTCTGTATTACATAATTATTAAATTGCAGATAAACTGTAGTTGTACAAATTTAAACCAGTCATGACATTGTTTAGAACCGGTATAGTCTGGTTCACGACAAAAAATTTGAGATCTGTTTCAAGTCCTGTTTTTCGGTCTGGTACCATATCGGTCCGGTTCGATACCATGTCGGTTCTGTATTTTGCCCACCCCTACTTCAAACACATTGCCGAGTAAATTTCCCTTTGATGAATGGGACTGCGACTGGGAATTGAAATTGGAGCAGAAAAGAAGAATAACTGAAAGTCACAAAGCACTTTCAAGTGTGCCACAATAATGATGCTTGGGAAAACATTAATTTTTTGTTCGAATACTTTTGGAGTAAGCCTGTGAAACTTTCGGTTGATGTACTCTTATTTTATACTACTCCTTAGTTTAGTTTAATATATAAGGACATTTTTGGAATTCCACTTACAATTAACGGTCCAAACAACTTAAATTTAACGGAAGGGGGATATTCTAACTTTAATAAAAGCTTAAGGGGTAAATAATTTAGTTCCAAAAATATAAGGTTGATTTAATAATTATGACCTAACCTCAAGAGGGTACTCATTATTTTCCCTTTAACTTTTAAGTACTTAAAACATTCTTTTCAATTTTTTTTAATTTAAAAGCTAAAAAGCATTTTTTTTAAGTAAGTGCAAACACTCCTTTATTACCCCTTCGGTTTTTCAATTCACCTAAATACAGTCTTACAAATGGGCGAGACAGTGTTACCGAAGAGGAAAGGAGGTGGAAATGGTGGACCCTAGGCTGTTCTTGGGTGATGAAGATTGAAGAGGAAGGAGATATATATTGCTCTCGAAAAAGCTTGCAGAAAAAGCTTGTAACTGTTTGAAGGATCAAAGGATTGAACGGCCGACGATGAGTGATGTGGTGCGGGGGCTTGAATTTGCATTGCAGCTGCAGGAAGCGGCGGAGAAGATGATGAACAGTACTTTTCAAGCTTCCGGCAGCGGCCGCGGCGACGTCTCTTTAGTCTTTATCCACCACCCCATTTCTTCCCCTGGCCCGGTGGCCGGAAAGGAGGGAGAGTCGATAACGGAGATGGAGAATAGTGGCGATTGACAAAGTGGGGAAGACACTGTTCCCGATGCACTCCAGCAATTAGAAACAAAAAGTGAACAAAGAGGGTGTAATGCAGCGGCGGATGCAGGAATTTCCGGTAGCAGAGGCGGCAGTACAAAAATATACATACAAATACATATACTTTAAAAATTTCGGGGTAAATATACCTAATTTTTTTTGGAGGGGCAGCAACCCCCTTTGTCACCCCCTGTGTCCGCCACTGGTGTGATGGTTTCCGTTGCATCCTAGCAAGCAGATGCGAGTCGCGACTACGGAGATCCAGGGACAACAAACAAGAAAAAAGTTTTGAATAGGAAGAGTAACTAAAGAAAAGGGCAAAAAGGGTATTACATTTGCTATCCTAAAAAAGCGTGTAAAAAGCAAACGTCAAGCTCCCATTGGGACGGAGGGAGGGAGTACTATTTTTCGTTCTTTAATAGTTGCAATAGTTTGATTTCGCGTTTGTCAACGCACAATTATGATTGTAATTATATTTAATTACGTATAAATAAACACTATAAAAAGACGATAATTTGGATATTCACATTAATATGAATTTAATACCATTTTATACCTAATAATTTGATTATGTATATTAGTAGAAACTAATGGTCAGATGTTAGAATTGTACAAAAATCACAATCTTGCAACAATTATGTCAAACGTAGTATGTGTTGATAAGTGTTATATGGGTTGGTAGGTGTAGTCCAGTGGATGGCCATCCACCCCCAAGTCTCTCCTTTGTTAGAGGTCTTGGGTTCAATTCCCACCAAGGAAAGATGAGGGAGGTCTTGCTCCTAATGACTTTTCTTACCTTTACGGAATTGCTCAGCGGCTAAGAAGGGAGGAGATGGTAATGCAGTCAGCGGGTTCGTGTGGTAGGGGCCTAGGGGGACCTCCTGGATGCAGCCTGGCTGGCAGGTGATGGAAGTCCTGCTGGATTCGTACTGTGGAACCACTACCGACGCGGTTGACGGCTGTGATCATATCGGAATTTAACTGTCTAGAGACTTTGGAGAATAGTTCATAAATTCCAGGATTATGGGAGCGCAAGCCCCGACACCTGGATTATTAAAAAAAACATGATAAGTATTACACAGTAAAATTGTCAATGACAACTTGAAGTGCCTATAAAATCATAGCTAGGGCCTAGGGGTCAACCTAAGCCCCGCCCATCCTTATATTTATTTTTGTTTAATTTTTGTTTTGAAAGTATTTTGTTTAAATTGTTAATAAAATCGTGTAAAAATGTTTAAAAAATATTACTCTGTATATGTATTGATCCATTCCAATATGCCGCCATGCCTATGCTCCCCCATTGTCACGGGTCTAACAATAAGGCAGTAGAACTGTGGGTAACTAGAACCAGTATGCTGCTAAATAACTTGAGTGATTGGTAAAATACATTCTTAGTGAAGCAGGACACAACACTTTAGCTCGTGGTCAATTTTAAATCCTCAAAAAGTTCCGTTCGAATGTACAAATTTCTAAATTGGTGTGTGAACGAATTGTTAGACCCTCCAAACATTCATTCATGTACTATTAATAGGTGAGTCTCTTTACCTCTAATATGTTCCTGCACTAGACTAGGGTGCTACGTACAAGCCTACAAATATGGATTTATTTAAGGTGTCAATAGTGTGTGTTTGAAGGATTTAATTAGAGTACCTAGCAGGATTTTGATTTCGATTTCGTTGAAAAAAGTAACCAGTTTTTCATGGGTATGACTTACTAGCAAAGTATTATTCAGGTTGTGAATAATATGGAGTTCGAATTTGTTCACATCCAAATGAACATAACGCCCCATTATTTTAATATTAAATGTACATTGAAATGAGTAGGGGTCCTTTCCTTGCTTTATGCTCGTACTCTTCATTCCTATGTGTAGTTCCGTTTTAGAAATGAAAATTGGGGTGTGGACTAGTTTAATTTTTAACCATATCTTTCGATATATTAATCTTTGTAAATTTTATTGTTTTTCCAGATTTTCTTTACTTCGAAACTCCTAATCCGCGAATTCCCTATTGTTCCATTCCGTCACCGACATTTACTTTACTTTCACATAAATGTGAAGGATGCATTTAATAGGCTAATATAATTAGGAATCTACCTAATAGATATTTAGGAATCTGTCTAATATCTATTTAGGAATACTTTGTATTTTTTTTTTTTTAGATATAATAACTAGTACTAGTATGCGAACTGAGTAGTTTACCAGAACGCATGGATGATACGATTGAAAACAATCCGCTATCAATTAAACAGTTAGACATAGTAACTAGCAAGTCAACTGACCAGTTTACCAGAACGCATGGATGATACGATTACACACAAAACTTTAGATTTCAAGAAAACAATCCACTATCAATCTACACTTCAAACTTTTATATATGCTTCTAATGATTCTCTGAATGTAGGTGAAGAAACTCCAGAGCAAGGAGGTACCCATGGTCAAGATAGCAGTGCAACTAGTAGACAAGCTTCAGAGCTAATAGATATTTAGGAATCTGCCTAATATCTATTTAGGAATACTTTGTATTTTGGTAACTCTTCTATTATAAATATATCTGTCAGGACTCCTATTGGAGTACCTCTTTCCCATTATTTCACATGGTATCAAGAGCTCTAGGTTTGTAGATACAATTTTTTTCTTTTTTCGGTTCCCATGAACCTTATTATAGCCGCCGCCGCCTCGGGGTCGACTGCCGCCACATTTACGGTAGTCTCCGATCCTTTGAAGATGAGCGCGGCTAATATGGCGCAAATCACCTCCTTCGCGTCGCTGAACACGGTGCTTGCTTCCAGCATGCCGTTGAGTTCGCCGCCTGCTGCTGCCTATGTCCGCGCAGTCCACCTTCTCCGCATCGCTGACCACGGTGCTTGCTTCAAGCGCGCTGTTGAGTTCGCCGCTTGATGCTGCAGACATATATTCTCATGGAGATATTATTGTCAAAGATGTGCCTTCTAATCTTCCGCTCACGGATATATTTACTAAGAGTTTTTTTAGTTTGCAATTTTATTTTTTTAAAAGACAACTTGCGCGTTGTATCCCCCGCACAGTTTGAGGGGGTGTAATAGGCTAATATAATTAGGAATCTACCTAATAGATATTTAGGAATCTGCCTAATATCTATTTAGGAATACTTTGTATTTTGGCAACTCTTCTATTATAAATATATCTGTCAGGACTCCTATTGGAGTACCTCTTTCCCATTATTTCACAGCATTTAGCTTCATTCATAATTCATTTTGGAGTGGTACAAAAGTTTAAGACCGTATTCTATTCTTAAAAAGATGCTTATGGAATTTGTTTTCCAAAATTAGTTATTTGATTAAGTGTATTTTTGTGCTCCCATGTGCTGGATCGTATATACCTAAGCGAGATTGCGTTGGAATAGAACACCGCTAGTCCCTTATCCAACGTGTTGCACTGCTAAATCGTGCCTAAGGTGATAGGTGTAAAAAATGCATTCAACACAACTCAAAAGCTTAAAAGTAACTACATAAATATAGTACTCGGGGAAAAAGAGAAAATGTTCTAAATAGGACTAGAATATGATGAAAGTATAAAAATAGACCTAGATTTCTTCATGTCACCCGGTAGAAATAAAGTGATAGTGAAGATAAAAATGTTCTTAGAAAAACATTGCCAACTTTCCTCCTTTACTTGCGGAGTTGCAGTGGTTAATCTTTCTGAAACAATTGTCGCTAAACAAGAGCTGCTACTCGCATTTGAATGGAGACAAAGAAATTTCCAGGAGAAAGAAATGAAGCAGAGTCAACGGGCGATCACTCGTGATCTCTTGCCAGATTTTCAGCCCATCACCCACACGTCGGGTGCCTAGATATAGTAAGTTATAGTGGACCCTCATATCAAACGGTTTATGAGTGGGGTGGTTCAAAGCCACCACATTGGATAGAACATCCACACTGACGTTGTCGGGAATTAAACCTGAAACCACAACCCGACAACCTTACTCGGCCACCGTTGAGTTACCCGTGCGGGTTGCCATAGTGGACCCCTCTCTATGCGGGCTGGCCAGTTTGGTTGGAGAATATTTATATTTAAAATAATTTTTAGATTTTTTGAAAGGAAATAATTTTTAGATCTAGAAACATTGAAATAAAGTGAAGACAAAATAGTATATAAAAGTATAGTATATAATTAATTATATAGTTTTTTGTAGTTCAAAATTAATAAATTTAGATAAATGAGTAAAGTGAAAAATCAATCCTTTCAAAAAAAGTAAAAATCAATCCTCTCTTTCCCCACCCTTCCCCCAACCAAACTAATTAAAATATGCATTAGTAATTAAATTGTTGTTCAAGTAAAGGTTAAAGTAGATAAATACTACTGGTATCATTTTGGCAAACTCTTTTCCAAATTAAGTTGTTGTTTGAGAAAACAATGCATATTTTATACTGGTATCACAAATTTGCCCGTGTTAACTATCCTTTCCTCTAATGCTATTGTATTGTATCGTATTTTGGAGGAAATAAAATGCACTTAATTGTAAACTTTTAAATAGGTACAAAGATATTCTAATAATTTCTAAAGTGTAACATTTTTTACATTGAAAATATACCATTATTATTATTAAGGTGTTTGAAGAAGAGTTAAGAGATGGAGACGGAAGGTGAGTTTGGAGATGGACGGAAGAAGGCGATGCACGAGGTCAAGGTATTTTGGTCCATTTGTTTCAAACATAACTTAAAATTCAAAGCTCTGTAATTAAAACTAGGAAAACCTAAATTTAATGCAATACCATTGATACTTTAATTTAGGGTGTATTCTACATGGAATTATGACAAGTTTTTAGAAGTTTATAAATTTTTAATGTTTAAGTGTATTCAATGTGAACTTTTACAAGTCTTTATGTTTACGTGTGTTCAAGCTACCTTCATTCTTATGAAAATATAAAATCCTGAGTTCTAGTAAATTTTTAACTCATTATTACATATATCATTTTTATTGCATTCTTTTCTTCTTCAGTCTTCCCAAAGATTTTCATCACAAATACACATGGACCTGATCCAAAATCATCCTGTGAATGTTGAATTCTCTATATTTGTTATTTTGTTTCGTTTGAACTTTTTATCATGTTTATACTTTTTTGGGCGAATCATGTTTATACTTTATAAAAATTGAAACATTCAGAAGCTAGAGCCTAGAGAACCAGTGTATGATTCAATATTATTAGAACCTAAAGTTATTAATGAAATTGTTAACATCTCACTAAACAGAGCCACGAAGCCTGACAATCCAATCATCTACACCAGTCACGATTTACCTTTTGGAGCCCAGATGTTCAAATGAAAATTATGGACCGTTTTACCCATGTCTTTTTTGGCATATACTCTAACCTATTTATTCTAACCTACTTATAGTATGTGTTCAGGAATACCCATCATCTCCAAGGATTTGGAATATAAAAGTTATGCCACTGCAAGATGCTTGTCACCCTAATATTTTAGTTATTATCCAATCAACTTAGGGGATGTTTGGAACTGATTCTCTGCTTCTTTCTAAAGCAGAAGCAGAATCTGAATCAGTTTTCAAAAACTACTTCTAAAGAAACTGTTTCTAGGAGTAAATCAGAGCACCATAAGTACTTTTGCACTTTCACCCAAACACTCCAAACTTCTCTTTTGCTATGTGAAGGAGCAGAAAAAGTTTTAAGAATCAGACCAAACATCCCTTGTTTTGATAAATGTTCTTAGATTTCATCTGTACTCAACCCGTAATGAAGTCCAACTGGTTTCCACTTTCCAACCATTTCAACAAATTATCCCTCAACCAAACAAGCTCGCAGTAATCAGTATTCTTAGAATGTGTGCACATTTGCCTTCGTAAATCGGATTGAACAAATTCAAATGGTCGCCAACAACTAACACAGACTCATGACACTGAAATATACCTATTTCCTTACCTTCGGAAAGCATTACGTTCAGTTGCTTCTGCAGATCTGCCCTGCGAATAATGTGTCCGGCGACGAACACTCTCTTCAATGGTGGAGCTCCCTCCCTTCTCAGCCCCATATACACTTCTCTGAGCGGCATCCAGGAAATTCCTTCCTCCCGACAACAACTGTGCACCGACGATGGCTTCTTCCTTGGCGTCGTTTTCATCGGCCTTCTTTATTCTTTTCCATCTTTGCTCCTCATGCACCTCGGCGTCGAGCTGCATCTCTCGCAGCCTGGCAGCTCTCTCTTCCTCTGAGAGCTTGACAGGACGTCTCCACCTGCCCCCCCTCTCTTCTCTCTCTTTGTCTGGTTTTGAATCAGGGTCCCTGGCTTGTGTTTCTTTGTGTTTTCTGTCTTCGTATGGCAGGTCTCTCCCCTTCCCTCGGTTGTCCCCTTTTTTATGACTTTGATCTTCATCTGAACTGTAGTGCTTTGACTTTTTGTGATGCTCTGACTTCTTATGATGACGATATTTCCTCCTGTGCTTCTCTTCCTTCTCAACGCCAGTCTTATCCTTGTGCTTCATTGCCTCAACCTGCATCAAGGATTTAAAATGAGAATGTCACTAAGGGTCAGTTTGGTACTCCAAAAATGCTAAACGACTACCACCGGTGAAGATGAATTTAAGAAGGGAATAAACATCACCATCCCCACCAAATTCCAGGAAAATGGAAAGGGAACAAATTTGCCACCAAAAGTGCTGCCCCAGGATGAAAATTTTTCAGCATATAATAAATACTAAGGAGAAATCAAAATCCTTTACCACTCTAGGTGTAACCAAAGGCCATTCTTTCTACTTCTCAACGACCTTACATGTAGTCACACAGCAAGACAATCATACCCAAGGGCTTGTTAATGAGCCAAATCTTTTCTGCTAGTGTGAGATGCAATAAACATAAACATCTACTCATCTACGGAGTAAGGATTACCCAATTATTGTGCTACTAACTGGCATAGAATATGCAGACATTTAACTCAAAATCTCATGTTCCCTCTCCATTGTACACAGCAAAAAAGAACTTCAAAAATTTAGCCTCAGATAATCTCATTTTGAGAACCTCCTTCCTACGCATACCATTTTCATTGAGAACTTCAAAAATTTAGCCCCAGATAATCCCATTTGGATTCATTTGGAATGCGGAAAATGTTTGGAGAATGGAAAACATGATGTTGAACATAATTTCTAACAATGTTTGGTTTTAGGTGGAAAATGAGATGGGAAAATAAAATGAGTCAGGATACAGATCTAGAATTAATTAATTGAGCATTGATTAATTGAGTTTGAACCGATTTTTCATTTTACCCAAATTTCCTTCCATCCAAGGTATTGATTAATCTACTGCCCTTATTAATTTCTTTCCACAGCACTTTACATCCAAGAACCCCATTTGGTTCAACTAATGATCACTATAAGGATTTTCAACATACTGCACCTTGCTTCTCACAAGGTTCTCACTTCTCACAAAACTAAACCACACGTCCTGTGAATGTAACATTCATTGAATACAGGAAACTCTGATATCTAAGAAGCATACTGCTGATATTTTAAAAAACACAGAGCAAAGAAGAAAGGTAAAAAAGGCAGTCCGGTGCACTAGGGCATCACCCTAAGGCGGGGGCTCTGGGGAAGGGTTCCACCACAATGAAAGCTAACTGAAAAAATAATCATATCAGTTTTATGACATCTAAATGATAGTCATCTCGATTTAAAACCATCTCAAACATTAAAAGTAGCAAAATTTTTGTTAATAACCGCATAGCAAAGGTAGGTCCTCTCTGATCTAACACAAGTCAAACCCCTCGATTTTAAAACAGAGAAGAAATACGTTATCTTCTACCTTTTAATATAACATAAAAGTAGAGAAATTGCTACAGTAATTAATATATTCCCTCTGTCCCTTAAAAATTTGCTAACTTTGAATTTTCTGGTCAATGAAATTAAACTTTGACTAATAATATATTTTTATAGAATTTTTTATAATATAAAAATGATAGGAAAATGTTCTTTATTATAAATACTTTCACAAATGTATAAAAGTTATAACTAAAATTTATTAATTAAAATCATTGGCTAGAGTTTATTGTGGTTGACTTGAAAAGTCAAAGATATCAAAGTTTTAACTTTTAAGGGATGGAAATAGTAGTATGGATAAGTATTAAAAGTATCACAGTTTTGAAAACGCTTACAGATTTCCGAATCATGGCCATCTGTACTGGGTTGTTCTTCACTCGAGCTAAAGCTTCTTGCTCCCGTTGTCGAATTAATAGCAAAGGATCAGAATGAAGTTTCCTCCAAGCATCATTGGCAGATTGTGGCTTGTCCTCAAATAAAGCACCAGGAACAGATGATTGAGCCTGCTTGTGCAAATATAATGTGTCATAACATATACGTAGTATAACCATATGGTGTCTCCTTCCACATTCAAAACTAGAAGCACATTTTCAAGAATCTAAGAAATACAGAGTATACATTTTTATAAGGAAATAAAAAAGAATTACCTTAGATGCAGAGGAAGAAGCTGTTGAGTCAGGAGGATCCGTCTGGGAGGGAGTGGATTCAAGAGCCTTAAATCCACTACTCTTTCCCACAGCTAAACCAGAATCATACAAAAACTCCAACCTCTCCTGCCGCCTGCAAAAAAAAATGAAAAATCAGTAAGAAATAAACAATAGAACATAGAAATCTTAAATTAAAATTCGTAAGTACAATTGCAAAGAAAAGAAAGACTGCTTACGGAACGAGACCAGCTTGTTCCTGAATTTCCCTAAACTCCGCACGCTCTCTCTCCTCTACGATCTGCTTGCGAAGCTCCTCTAATTTCTTCTGTTCGGCCTCATGTTTCTGCTCGGCCTTCCATACGTTTTCTATATTACGAAGGCTCCCCGTGTGCCATCCCTTCTTGTTCAGAAACTTCAATGCCATCGGAGAGGATCTCGATCTACTCCTCCCTTAACCCTAATTCCCTCTATCCACGCCGATGGCAGCAGTTTTAGCGGATTAAAACCGTCGGGCGTCGGTCCCCGAGGTTGCCTTTGCGTCTGCTACCTCCCCGGCCGTATATTTAGAACTTGAAAAACTTGTCGTCGAGACTCTCCAATAATACGATGGCTTCAACAATTTGCAAATTTACGCCTACCTATCCATTGTGGTGTAGATGGGTTTTAACTCTTAAGGTAGGGATAGTTGAGTTGAGGGGCACTAAATTTGGATCAATAGATGAACTTTCGAATCGTTATCAAATCAAATACAAATATATTCGAATGTTAATCAAATATATTCGATTAATAATAATGATAGAATGAATAATAATAGCAATCATAATTATAGTAGTAATAGCATTATAATAACTTCTAAAAGCTAGCTATACATTCAAAGTGTAGCTCATATACACATTTACGTATACATTAATACACATTCTAAGCCAATTTGTAATAAACCATAACATTTACGTATAAGGAGTAAGAGTTGTAAACGAAGCAAATAGTTTTAATCCGACTCGTGATTTGGATTCATAAATTGTGATTTAAATTTGAAAATATAGAATATAAATAATTATGTAGTTGATTCGAATACAAATAATTATGTAGTTGATTTTAATAATAATGACATATATATTCGTTTATACATAAACGAAATCAACTATCTAATATGTGTGCATCAAATACCCACTATATGTGTGTAGTATAAAATATACTCCTATTATATATCTAATAGTGTTTTTTTATTATCAACAATGCTAATTGCTAAATATGTAACATAAAATTATAGTCGTTTGACTTTGATATACTACGTATATAATTATCAACTTATTTCACACACTATAGGTATAATTTCTAATATGTGTGTGTTAGTGTTTATTTTAAAAACTTTGAAATATATTTATGTATAGTATCATAAAATTGATTCACTTGAGTAGATATAGGAAAAGTTGTTTTAAAGTGATATTTGACTAATATTTAACTTATGATCAAATCGATTCGATATTCGTATATGATTCGTTAACTATTCATATTGTTAAACAAATACGAATACAAATTGAAAATAATATTCGTTCCATATTTGAATTCGAATTCGTATTCGAAAAAAATTAAACAAATACAAATACAAAATCTCACTATTCGACTCGATTCGGTTCGTTTACAACCCTAGCAGAGAAGGTGTGCAAGTTACAGAACTTCTGGAATAGGTTGGACCTTTGGCGCGCACGAGTATATGGGCTCACTGTCACTTCGTTGACTGAGTCACCGTAATTTACAACCTCACATGTGTTCTGTGGGGTCGGCCGATCGGGGTGTGGGGCTCTTGAGATTGAGGAATCAACCTTTTGGATCAATGGTTTATTGGTTTAGACGAGTTTTTAATATTTGACTTTACGTTTCATTTTCGAAATCATTAATATTTACAAAGTTAAATAATTTTATACTGAAGTAATGTACATACATTAATAATTTTGAAAATATATTGTAAAGTCATTATCATTTAAATTAGAATGTAATTATAGAGAAATATTTTATACTCCATATTACTTGTGACTTACATAGTACGCGTAGTGTTAGATATTGTCAATTTCGAATTATGTGAAAATAAGATAAGTAAAAGTTGTGTATTTGAGTTTTTATTCGAATAAGAGAGAAGTATGATCTTTAATTTGAACTTGAAAACACCAATTTCATTTTTTAAGAAAAAAAAGTTGAAAACACTTTTTTTAAATGTACGGCAAACACTCCCTTAATAATAAAAGTAGGTAGTGCTTGATAAAATTATTTTGAAAAGGTAAAAAACAGATAATGTTCATTAAAAAAGAGTACTATCTGCGTCTCAGATAAAGGTTCTCGTCCAACATTAACGTTTGTGTATTTTGAAAATCTGCAAAATAAATACTCCCTCCGTCCCGGAAAATTGTTCCCGATTTCCTTTTTGGGTCGTCCCAAAAAATTGTTCCACTTTCCCCTTTTGGGAAGTTTTTTGGCTACAATTCATTTACCTTTTTCTTACACAACCACAACCATATATTTCCACTTTATTCTCACTTTCTTAAATTCCGTTCCGAGTCAATGCGGGAACAATTTTCCGGGACGGAGGGAGTAAAAAATGATGATGATGATGATGATGATGATGATGATGATAAAGATGAGCACACGGAATTATGAGGAAACCAAGCCCAAAAATATTGTCCACAACAATTGTTTCTTAGGATAGAACGGCTTTTCGTCTCGAAGGATACCGGCGAACCAAACAACACTCTATTGTCCAAAATATAAAATACGAAGTAATCATAATCAAAATTGTCCAAAATATCCAGGTCAGGACCAATTCCTATACCTTAGGGCAAATGAACGGGTGGCCTCGACCTGGTTTCTGACGAGAGAGAATTATATTCTTTAATTTGAACTTGAAAACACCAATTTCATTTTTTAAGAAAAAAAGTTGAAAACACTTTTTTTAAATGTACTGCAAACACTCCCTTAATAATAAAAATAGGTAGTGTTTGATAAAATTATTTTGAAAAGGTAAAAAACAGATAATGTTCATTAAAAAAGAGTACTATCTGCGTCTCAGATAAAGGTTCTCGTCCAACATTAACGTTTGTGTATTTTGAAAATGGGAAAAAGACTCCAATAGGAGTAAAACAAGGGCTTGGTATGCGGATAAGACCTCCTACTTTTTTAACCCTAAATAAGACTTATTTGCACCTGAACGGACAAAAATGCCCCTTGGACAAGATTACATACTCGGTTCTCCTACCCAGCTGACATTCAGGACTTCGGGCGCGATTCATTGTCCACTACCGGTCTCTCACTGGTTATCGCCGAAGTGCTCTGCTGCAGGCCGTCACTGAATTGCTCTGCCGCAGGTTGTCGCCGGAGTGCTCCATTGCTGGTCGTCGCCGGAGTGTTCTGTCGCTGCTCGTCGCCGAAGTGCTCAGCAGATCTTCTTCTTCTTATTTTCCTTTCTTCTTCCTTTCTTCTGCCGATCTTCTTTTCTCCTCCACCTTAATTCTTCCGCAGTTCTACGTTTATTTTTGGTGGGCGTTAAATTTTGTTTCTGAATGCTCTTTCCCATTCCTTTTGCTTTTGGTTCGTTTTGCTTTTGTTATCTAATTTATCTAATTTCATTTTCAAATTGTTAAATTTTTCGTTTATTGTTTTGTTTAATTTTTACTACGTAGCACATTATTTGTTTAATTATTACGAGTATTTTTTTGATCCATTTAATTAGACACTTGTCTTTTTTTAAATCAATTAGTCACTTATCTTGTATTATAGCAAGCTACATTCAGGTCTGTTTCAGAGGATCTGCAGTTGGCTCTTATAGTCTTATTGAAACTTAGCAAGTTTTCCTGGAGAAAAATATTGTTGTTATTGACATTGTTATTGACATTGTGATTGAAATTGTCTATGCACAATGGCATTATCATGACATTTTGAAAATGATACTGTCCAAAATTTAAATACGGAGTATCAATAATAATGACATAACAATGTCAACAATATTACAATGTTATTGACATTGTCGTCATTGAGATATAATGTAATCAATACCCTGTTATAAAAAATTGACATTGTTAAGTAATAAGCCGCACTTGCAAAACAAAGACCATGTCTATGATGAGGTTCAGTCATGCACACATCCTATCAGATCCCAAGCAGAAACTCGGAAGAAATGCATTTTTGTTCTGAATGAATTCGGGTTGACTCGGCATATCTTGACACAATGGCAATGCCAATTTCATAAAAATGTATAAAAAATGACATTGTAATTATGACATTGTCAATAGCCATTATGACAATGTTAATTTTATAAAAGAAAAATCACAATATCGAAAAAATGTTATCATGTCAATTAATCACGACGACAATGTCAATTACAATGTCATAACAATGTTATACAAATGTCAATGATAATGTCAATGTCATTGTCGATGCTATAAAATGACATTGTAATTATGACAATGTCAATAGCCATTATGACAATGCTAATTTTATAAAAGAAAAGTCACAATATCGAAAAAATGTTATCATGTCAATTAATCACGACGACAATGTCAATTACAATGTCATAACAATGTTATACAAATGTCAATGATAATGTCATCAGAATGTCAATGACAATGTTATAAGAATGTCAATCATTATGAAAATGACATTTTTAAAACTAATGACATTTTTATTACATTTATACATATAATGACGTTAATTTTTATACAATGCATTATATTACATTATCATATAATGTCACAATGTAAAAAGTAGTGTAATTTCAAAAAACAATAATGACAATATCAATGACATAAAATGACTTTGTAATAATCGCAATATCATTGTTTAAATTATGACAATGTCATGACCATTGCAATTACACCAATCATTTATCAACAACTTCATAAATATTGATATCACTGTAAAAGCGTATGAGAATAAATATTGAAATGTGACAATAATAATAGCAGTTAACTAAAATAAAAGTAAAAACACAAATCTCGGATGACTTTGTTGCCATAAGATCAACCCATCAATATTAAAACTTAAAAGAGTAAATCATTAAAATTTATCAAAGACATAATATTTAAAAAAAAAATAATAATACAAAACTCAAGGAAAAAGATAAAAGGAAAGTTGAAAATGATTTAAAACCGAAAAGAGTAAATCACTAAAACTAATATAAATGTATTATATTAACAACATATTACAATGTCATCGTTTGAAAATGTATTATACAATGATCTCTTGTCAATGATCTCTTGTGGTCTGCTCATCCTCTAAAGATCTACTTTGTTAATAAATCCTCCGGGAACCCTGATGCTATCGTCAAAGTTACAAAGAACTAGTAATAATATTAACAACATATTACAATGTCATCGTTTAAAAATGTATTATACAATGTCATCGTAGAACATTGTATTATACAATGTCATTGTACGACAATGTAATGTACAATGTCATCCTAATATAATGTAATATACAATGTCGTCGTATGATAATGTAACAAGATCATGCACTAATCGTACAACATTGTAATAGATAATGTCATCATACGACAATGTAATACGATAATGTAATATACAATGTTATCATTCGACAATGTGATATACAATGTCATCATATGGTAAATGTAATATACAATGTCATTGTTAGAAAATCAATATTTTATTTCTTGAAACAAAAAACACACTAGAAAGTCAAAATTCAAAATATAGTGTAGCTCCCTAACATAGTCAGGCAC